CCCCCGCTGCATCCCCGGGGTGCGCGGCGGGCGCGGGCTATAGGGTTACAAAGAGGCCTTGTGTACGGTATAGCCCATACGTCGGAGCGGGGAGGGCGCGGGCGCCAGGCCTTATATAAAGCGATAAACCACCCCGTCTGTCTCCTGAACCCGGCCGAAGCCCCCCCCGGCTCCGGGAAACGGGGGTCCCGGGTGGGGTGTGGGGGCCACACGCGTGTCACTTTACATGTGTGTCACATGCATATAGGGGATGACCATCGGCTGACTGTATGCTAAACACTTTGTGCCTCGTCATAGGGGCGCATTGCTAACGAGGCAGTAATTAGATGTATAATTTTCAGCAGTGTGTCATCTTTATTATTATTATTATTTTATTTTTACACCCGCCTTGGGTTTTGGGGTGGTTGTTTTTTCCCCCCCCTAACCTCGTTGGAAGGGAAATAAGGCCAAGCCCTCACAGTGCGGCCCGCCTCCGCCCCCCGAAACTGCTCAGGCCCTATGCGTTTGGCCTGTACCAGCTGAGAAAAAAAGCCGTATTTTGGGGGGAAATCAGCTGGAAACAGTACTGATGGCTGTGCCATGGTGGCAGGCACCCTAGAACCACCCATCACCGTTGGGTGGTTGGCGCGGGGTGGCAGAGGAAAAGGCGAGGGCAGAGTTTTTGGGGGGTTTTGGTGCTTTGTGGGGAGCTGGGGTGAGCCGTGCCGGGCGGCCGTCCCACCGGCGAAGCGATAATCTCTGGTGTCAGGCGCGCTGGGGTATTTTGGGCTCCGGCGTCCTCTCTCCCCTCCTATCGCTTTACCCCGCGCGGGTACGTGCGCGCCGTGAGTCAGGGCTTTGGCACTGCCCGGCCACCCTGGGGGGGCCCTGCCAGTGGGGCTGCCAACCCCCTGCTTGGGGTGCTCGCGATGATGCGTGGAGAATTGGGGGTCCACCAGGCTGGTGTCCCCTCCCTCCCCCCCATGCACCCCCCCCATCCCTGGGGGCCTCTGTGGCCACAAAGTCCTTCCCTGCACCCGGCTTTTGGGTTGGGTCATCGGGTTGGGTCATTTCCCCCCAGGGATGGGAGGAAGAAGGTCCCCAAATCAGTTGGGGGGGGTGGGGGTGGTGAGGGCTCGCCAAGGTCACCAATGGCGAAGCTGTGGGAGAAAATGGGTTGGGGGTGGTGGGGCTGGGACCCCGCTGGTGGGGTAGGTGATAGTCACCGGGGTGCTGCCCAAGTGGTGTTCCTGGCACTCCCCCCACCCCGGAGGACGGGCGCGAGTGTCCTGTTGGGAGAAGGCTCTGGATCTGGCCCTGTTTGGGTTTGCAGGGCCGGCGTTCCCGCAGGAAAAGGGCTTTGGGTGGGTGTGGGGTGAGCAGCCGCCCCCTCCCCGGCCGGGTGACACTGGGGAGGGGGGGACACGTTCCCGTCCCCAGGGGACCTCGGGCACCCAGCTCCCTCCCCGGGGCGGGCGCGTGGCTGGCACCACACTGGCTTTTCTAACAAAAATAACCCTTCGAAA